GATAATTTTTCTGAAAGCAAAAGTTTTCAAATGTGGAGAACCAACTTCAGTGATACAAATTTGAGGCTGGAAGTGAGGCAGGTGGTGGCATCCTGGAGCTGGTCCTTGGAGCAGCTGTGAGTGAAGGACTATCTCAAGGACTAACTGTGTCCCACATACAACAAAACAACCCCCAGCTTTTTGTTATGTGCCTAGGCTGGGCATTTAGTCCTCCAGCAGCCCTTGAGGTTTCAACAAGCTAGAAGGCTCACCCGAGGTGGCTCAGTCACTGACGGAGCAGGGATCTGAACATAAGGCAACTTCTGCAGGTTCACTGTCTCTCCACTGTCTGTGCAGTCTGCACATGGCCCGAGTGGTTTGTGTTCAGGCCAGTTAGAGGAGCATGAAAAATGCCACACCAGGAAAGAAGGGACCGGAAACTCCTTAGCAGTGTTCCGAGCACCAGGCCTAATTCCTCATCGTCATGAGAGCATGGCTGGTTCGTGTCAACTGTAGAGCTGGGATTTTGAGAGGTGAAGTCGAGAAGAGGTGGTGCCCTCCACTAAAACCCAAGTGACAGGGTATTTCCAGCTTTCTTTTGGAATTTGACCCACACATTGGCTCTGAACTTGTAGGAGGCAGCCACTGAGCTCACCTCAGTGAATCCTGGGTGTTGATGTTTCCACATTGTGGGCTGAACAACTGAAAGCAGCACTGCCCATGGTATGCATTCTCCGCTGGGAAAGAGAGGTCCGTCTTTGCATGGTGTGTTTATAATTCTAAAACTTTGGCTGCTCTAGCTGTGGAAGAGCAAGAGAGAAGGAGTGGAGCTGAGAAAAAGTGTGTGTGTATATGCATGCTTGTGCTTTCCCCTTTCTGCTGTTCTGTAGACGGAGGTAGGAAAACCAGGGAGTCAGAGGATGAAAGAACACGATGTCACAATGGCATATCGGGTCCAGGCAGGCCATGGAAAGTGAAGAAGTTGATATAGTTGGTGGTAATGGGACTGTGCTGCAGGAGAGAGCATTCCCAGCCCAAAGTCATTCAAAAGGTGTGAAATACTACCCTATTCCATGCCTGTAGGCTAGTTCTGCCCCAGACCTCCACCACTACCAATTTTCAACTCCTTCTAGCTTCATGGGCTACTTCAAAATGCGAGCCTGGCAGTTTTCTCCTCTGGACATAGTAGAACTTGATTCTCAGAATATGGCAGCTGACTTGTAATGTATATAATTACACCCAGCCTTCATTCATTTCTGCCGTTGGCTTTAAGGCAAGGCTCAGGGCATATGCGTGCTGGCTTAAAGGGAGGTCATGCCTTGTTTTTATAAAGAAGGAATAAGGAGAGCCACTCCACTCCCCACAGTGCCAGGCTCCTTGGGTTACACGGGATAGGAATTGACCCTGCTTAGGTTAAACAAAACAGGAAAGCATGAGAAGTCTGTGAATGACTCACAGAACCAAAGGACAGCTGAGAAACCAGCCTCATCCAGCAAAGCTGGGACTGCTACAGAGATGCAGGGCTCATAAGGGGCCACACCTGGCGTGAGTCCCCTCTTGAGTTTTCTCCCCCTTCCTTACATTATCTGGATGGGTAGGGAGGCCCAGGAGAGAAGGGAGATAACTGTGCTTGGTGGTGTGCTTCGGTTGAGGAAGCCTGGGGCCCTCTGCTGTGTCCTCTGACGAATCCTGCATGTGCTGGGAGAGGTAATTGCTCATAAGGAAGTTGTGGTGCTGAAAGGAGAATGGGTGTGGAGTGACTGAAAAACACCTGTTCAGTACAATCTGCTAGTGACATCTTGTGGGCTGAAATCGATTGACAGTCCTTGGAATCTGGAAGCTCTGTTGGCAGCTTCAGCCTCAGGGATTTTGTTCAGCCTACCTGCTTAAGGACAGATAGATGGAGTGGGCAGTTGTCGGAAGCAGGATTGTTTTCTTTTTTCCAGCTCTGTTGTTTGTTCATTTTATACATGGAAAAGACTTGAACAATCAATCTTACAAATGGGGATAGATTTAGATAGCTGCATTCAGAGTGAATAATGGCTCCCAGTTCACCCTGCCCTGTCCCCCCAGTACATCCGGAAGACTCTTGATGGGGAGTTTGGGGAGGGAGGGCTGAGGGCCCAGGGCCATGACCCTCAGAAGGGGGATGGGCCCACAGTTCCCTGTTGCTGCCAGATCAGTCTTTACACATGCCCTCTTCTCTGATACTTCTTTGAATATTGTCCTTTAAAAAGCAATCCCCCACCACTCCAGCAACCAGGGGTGGGGGGTGGGAGGGATGGGGCGGCTGGGTGATAGACATTGGGGAGGATATGTGCCATGGTGAGCGCTGTGAATTGTGTAAGACTGATGAACCACAGACCTGTACCTCTGAAACAAATAATACATTATATGTTAAAAAAAAAAAAAAGAAGATAGTAGGAGGGGAAAAATGAAGGAGGGGGAATCGGAGGGGGAGATGAACCATGAGAGACTATGGACTCTGAGAAACAAACTGAGGGTTCTAGAGGGGAGGGGATGGGTTAGCCTGGTTATGGGTATTAAAGAGGGCACGTATTGAATGGAGCACTGGGTGTTATACGCAAACAATGAATCATGGAACGCTACATCAAAAACTCATGATGTAATGTATGGTGATTAACATAACATAATTAAAAAAAAGAATATGTAAGCCATGTAAGTGAGATTGTATCTCTCATGAACAAACACTTGGGCCTTGAAATATCAACTAACAGTTGGTATTTGATATTAAGAGGTGACTGTGTGATATTAATTAGTTACTGAGCACCTTGAAAAGATCTGTACTACATATAGCAATTTTTTAAGCATTGTCAAATTTATTTAATTTTTGTAACACTAAAATAAGGTATAAACATTATGCTAACTGAATTAAGTCAGACACAAAAGGCTAGTAATTGTATGATTCCACTTAATATGAAGTATTTAGAGTAGTCAAATTCATTGAGACAGGGAGTAGAATGGTGGTTGCCAGAAGCTGGGTAGAGGGGAAAATAAGGTGATCTTTTTAAGGGGAACAGAGTTTTAGTTTTGCAGGCTGGAAAATTTCTGGAGATTATGGTGATGGTTGCACAACAATGTGAATATACTTAACACCACTGAACTATATACTTTAAAAATGGTTAAAATGGTAAATTTTAAGTTATGTATATTTTACCATAATTTAAAAAATGTCCATGTTAAAAAGGGCCATAAAATGGAAAATAAATTTTTGAACCATTAAAAAAAAAAAAAAGCAATCCCGTTTTACAGGGGCTTAAGTCAGAAAAGGAGGCCCTGAAAATCCAGGTGTCAGAAGTGCAGGGAAATGACCCAACAATAGGGCTCATCTGCAGGGTCTCTTGAATAATTAAATATAATATTAAATAACAGAATGGATGTAGATTTACCCCATCTGCTGAAGTCATGCAAAGAAATGATTTCATCACAGACTGGGAAGGTGTGGAAAAATCGGCAATCTCTAGAACAGACTTGTTCTTCACAATTTAAACCCTGCCAGGCCATCAGGCTTGGTTTACCTAACTGGCTAAATCTGCAACCTGGAGTCTGATCCCGGGCTTTGTGGGACCGGGTGGCCTCCGTGGCACACACAATTTGCTCTTTTAGCATTAAAGATATGGAAGATGGTGCCCGCCTCTCTCCCGCTCAGAAGTCAGCCTTTCATCTGAGACATCTGATTTGTTAGGTACTCTTCTTTTGAGAGTACAGCCAAACACTAATAGAAATACTGACTGCTAAGAGAATGGTGGGGGCTATTCAAGCGGTCAGGACTGTAGAGAGATTTCAGAGTCCTGGGTGACCAGTTTATTAGAAAATTACTCTAGGGGCACCTGGGTGGCTCAGTCATTAAGTGTCTGCCTTTGGCTCAGGTCATGATCCCAGGGTCCTGGGATCAAGCCCCGCATCGGGCTCCCTGCTCCGTGGGAAACCTACTTCTCCCTCTCCCACTCCCCTGCTTGTGTTCCCTCTCTCGCTATCTCTCTGTCAAATAAATTTAAAAAAAAAAATCTAAAAAAAAAAAGAAAATTAGAAGGGATTAGAGAATGTCTTAAACTGCTTACAATATTTTTAGGAACTAAGGTGAGAGATGCTATTTGTGTGCAAAATAATCCCATAAAGGAATGACTTTTTTTCTTTTTTTTTTAAACCTCACATTTATGTACTGACATCCAGCTGCTCTTACCCATCTGGCAACTTAAAGATTTCCTTTTAGTTTCTTTGATATAGAAATTACCTACCATTAGGTCTGCCACTGGGCCTGTTTAATTGGTATTAAAAGAAAGCACGTCCTTTGCCTGATCTGCTGTGGTTTCTGACGGAAGCTGTGAGTGACCAGCCAATCTCTGCCCCTGGAGTTGCTGAGAGAATGCAATTACCTTTCTATGTCCTCCAGAGGCTTTAGGGACTCAATTTATGAAAAGGATAACTAGCTCGTTGCTATTTCATGTGTGAAATTTTAATGAATTGCTGGCAGTCTAATGGTTTTCTTTCTTTCTTTTTTTTTTGGAAAAAACAAAAAACCAAAAAGCCTTTTTTAGAATTTTTAACTAATAGCCCTAACGAGTATTTTTGATTAGTCTGCCATTCTTGTTTATTGCAATTGATGGATTTTTACTTTTTTGTAGAAACGCTATTTATGCCCTCGGGAGGTTTTCATTTTATAATTAAAATGCTCTGCAAACCATGTAGGTGTGCTCCAAGTGAATGGTCCTGTGTACACACAAATCTTTTTAGTCCTTAAAGGTAATTACATCTGACAATAGGAAATGCCAGAATGCTTATTTAAAGAAGGGAAAGGTTTCTAGTGGGCGTGGGGGGAGCCTTCATTGTAGGAAATCAGATGCTTTACAGTATTATAAGCTCTTTCCCGATGGACAGCAGGTATAAAGCCTCAGGGCATGAACTAAGAGAAATTTGCTTTTAATGAAAAAAGGGGACTAAAAATAAAAATAGATGCGCCTCTTCATTTGGTGGTCCTTTTCCGATCCCCCACCACCAGATTTTAGGACATTTTTTTTTTTCCTCCATGGTTTGTTTGCAGCTGTTGTCTGCCTTGTTACAATCAGTTGTTCCGTAATTGCCTCGTGGGGGCTTCTCTGGAGACTCAGTCCACTGCAGTGCAGGGAATATTCACGATTAACGTGGTGAGATTGCCATGGAGACAGATTGCCGAGTGTCAGGTCTTGCATAGCGTTGGGAATTTACAATCCCCAGGCGTGTTTGTGAGCTGGACAGTGTAGTTAGCAGGGACGCTTCTGGAAGTCATTTCCTCGGTCCTTTGAAGGGTAGCAGTGTTTGGGGAAACCAGCCCTCGGTTCCTCTCTGGGCAGGAGCTGTGCTCTCCCATAGAAGCCTGCTGCTTTTGTTCCTGCTTGTTGCTGCTTTGTTCTCGGCCTGAACGGTTGCTGTAAAAAATAATCCTGACTGCCTGACCTTTGGAATATAAACTGGGAAGAGCTCCTTGTTTAGATGCAGCTTTGTAGGGGACATGTTGATGCTTTGATTCGTAGAATTGTTTAAGAGAAACCAGAAAGTCTGCTGTAGGTTTCGAATATTGTTTTAGTAATAATAAAAATAAAGCTGAAAGGGACTTGGCATAGCTACATTGTGTTTTATTTTTGGAACTGAGCTACAACCACAAAGGTATTATGAAGACCTCAGGAACAATAATCTCAGAATAAGTAAAAATATCTGCAAAGCCTGAAGAGTTAACAGTTTGTTAGGGAGAGGACGGGGTCAGAGATGGACCTTAAACAATAATACCTTTTGTGTGTGTGGTTTTTTTACATATACTATGTTAATTCAATCTTTAAAACAATGCCGTGTTAAAGGCATTATTTATTTATTTTTTCTTTTACGGAAAAGGCAAACCAAGAGGTGAAGCCGGAGATGGGCTTGTGATTAATTAGTCAGTGAGAAGGTGCCGTGTGGCTCAGCGTCCTGCCACAGCACTGGAGATGTTATGCGGTTTGTTGATTACTCTCAGGGTGCCTTGTAGCAGCGTTGGCTGGCTTGATGGACTGCGCTATTCTTGGACAACTCTGGTACTCAGTGATGCTGTGATTCCTCAGTGGGACAAGAGGGCAGATTTAGGGTCACTTGCTGCTGGGTTATAGGGGTTCATCCCTGGGCTCCTTGGCTCACTCCAGCCTCGTGGTGGCGCTGACTCTCAGCCATGTGGAACCAAAAAACACGGGGACTGGGTCTCTTCCAGCTGTGTTTGTATCTCACCTCTGCACTTGGGGCCAGTTGGCGTAGGATAATAGGACTATGTTCTGCCTGGTTTCTGGTCTAGTACTGTTAAGAATTTCACCATCATGCTTAAGCTGAAAGATAAAATTCATGCTGCACTGGATTGCCCTGTTCACAAAGTTCAGAAGGTAGAGCTGAAAAATTAGAGATATGGTCATAACCCAAATAGGGGAAAGATTTATGAAAATGTTTGTGGTCACTTTCTCTGGAGAAGGAACAGAATTGGGAGGTAGGGGTGAAGGAGGGCTTTATAGTTTTTGTGTATGTAATCTGTGGTTAGAAAAAGATAGATATATATATTTAAGCAAAAAAAAAAAAAATCCTTGGGAACTAGAACATGGTACTGCTTTTATAGCCTGTGGATTTAGCAGACTGTAGAGAATATACATCCTTTAATTGGATGAAATCCAGTCTGCACACTAAGGTCGTTGATGGATGTTTTAAACTAGGAATTGGAACTGAATGAAATATTGATTTGGTTCAGGTTCAGTTCAAAGGCTACTCTGATATTCTGGTTTTGTCTCAGGTCAATAATTTTAGAAAAAGGCGTAGGTACAGTACAGTCTGGTTGAGCTTCAGATGAAACAAGGGTTGACTCAGTCTTATATTCAGCAAAGGAATACTTTATTCCAGGTTCTGCTTCAAATGGAACTGTGATACAAAAACGAAATCACTGGATGTTAATTTTATGTGACAGGGAGGCCTTCCTACCATTTTGTAATTATCAGGTGAGATAATGAAATCTTAAGCAGCAAAGCTAACCCATCACAGAGTGTTTTGTTTATATTGAGATAAATGTGTACAATGTTCAAGCTGCTTCCTTGAGGCATGATGCATACTGCTAATGAAGCCACAGATGAGGGGATCCAGTTTTTTTGTTTTTTTGTTTTTTTGTGTGTGTGTGGGTGGGTTTTTTGTTTTTTTTTGTTTTTTTTTGTTTTTTTTTGAGAAATTCCCTTTGTCTTAGGGCAGTTTTCCTGGGGACTTTCCACAAAATGCATTTTATGGGCTGAGAGCCGGGTGAGGCTTGGAACATTGCAGATGCTCACTGATTGTAGCAAACTGAGTATGAAGTTGATGGTAAACATTGTGATGGAAAAGTGTACTTGGTTTTAGTTTGCTTTCCAAAAAGATGTTTGAGAGACTCAGTTGGGCCACATGGTTTTCATAGACTCCTTTTTATGCAGTCTGTCTTTACAAGGTGATTTTCTTGTTGGGGCTGCCCAGTGACCAGCTTGAGAACTTCACTTTTCCCCCTCAATTTGAATAGTCAGGTTTGTTAATGCTTCCTTCAAAGGCCTGGACAAACACTGCTCTGCAGATTGAGAAGTGGTATGTGCTAGTCTGTAAACTGAGAAGTGGTATGCAGGGTCTCTGCACGATATTCTGGATTGGCTGCTTTTTTTTTCGTGGGTTTACTTGACATCATAAGAAATTATTCCATTTGAACTCTCCAGATGAGCCGATTAATTCTGACCTCCTAGGGGAGCGGATGGTAGTAGAATGTGTGTTTGTGCGATGTCAGTCAGAGCTCCTGGTTCCAGGGCTACCCTGGTTTTCTCCTTCAGTTTTGGAGATTCTGAAATTCAGAGGATTATGGCCCTGCAGTGTTCTCTTCAATAGTGGTGAATTTCTTTGATTTGGCTGTTTCTCCTAATGAAATGGTAACCTGATTAATTGGTAATTAGGATGCCTCAGAGGTCTGTTTCCCTGTGAATCAACCACCAGATAGAATGTGATTCTAGTAATACCCCAGAATATTCCCCAACAAAAGGAAAGTGTATGCAAAAAATTCTGGATGTCACTGCAAGCTGTATTAGTTAAGAGTGGTTGGTAGTGCCAGGGTACTTAAGTGATGCATCACGAGAGAGGAAGTATTATATAGCCATCTTCTTCCTTAGACTAGTTTTGGTCAGTTAACTACAACCTTTCTTGTCAGATAGAAAGAACACAAGCTCCAACTCTCTACAGTAACTCTTTATTGTGTCCTCTGTGTCTTTTCAAGGGAGTGGCTATTTTTGGAACTCTTCCTATAGAGTTATATGCTGAATTTCTTCAATCCCCAAATCCTCTTGTGCTTTGCAGGAGAAGCTGTGCCTGAGGATGAACAGATCAGTGCTAAGGACCAGAAAACCCTGGAGCCCTGTGATAACACCCCCATCATAGACAATATTGCTCCTGTTGTTGCTGGCATCTCTGCAGAGGAGAAGGAGAAGTATGATGAGGAGATCTCCAGTCTCTACAGACAGCTGGATGATAAGGTCTGTAGCCAGAGATTATAGTCCTCACTCCGGCACCTAGACTAAAGGTGGCAGGTCCTAGAGCTATTGGCCCCATGGGCTGCAGACTGATGTTTATGTCTATCTTCCTAATATCTACCCTAGCTCTCGATTGGGCAGACTCAGGGAACTTGAATCTTGTGGAATGGAAACTTCCATGGAAGTTTGATTGGAAGACTAGAGAGTTGGTCTAGATAGAGAGCTAGTCTTCACTTCTGGACATGGGACCGGGGCTAATCACGGCAGGAGAGTGGGGGTGGCGTGAGTGTGCACGATCTTCGTTTAATTGTCCCTTCTGTTTTTCTCTGGGCCTGTGCCTCACCTCTTGAAAACTTCAACAGTAGTGCCAGCTGTAGGGGCAGGGTGGGGTCTCCTAAAGCTAAATGTGTTCTTTCATCCTGGAGCTCTCAGGCCCTGGCATGAGGAACCAGTGGTAGTGGCGTGTGGTCTGACAGCTTTTTCTTTACCGGTAAATCCGTTTTCAGGGGCATACTCTTGAATGAAGTAGTTGGAACATGCTGTCCGGTTAGTCCAATTTTATGGCAAACTTTCGGGACTCAAATAGTCATGTAAATGTACAAGTTGGACCAGAGGAAAAGAGACCGTGGAGAACAGTGTATATCGTTCATCCCCAGTGAAGGTCGGGTTAGGAATGCCAGAGGCATAGGAAATTAAATTGATGTCTCACGTGATCTTGGCGTATTGCCCTTGGAATATTCTAAATCCTTTCAGTTCATTCCATCACGGTTGCTGGTATTTTTAGTCTGATTTCATCTTTTCTGCTGTGGTTCGGCTCAGAGTGCTTGGGGACACCTCCGGTTTGGCTGAAACAGCTTTGTTATGTTAACATTGTCATTAATCTTATAGGCCTATCTATTCTGAGTGAAGCTCAGTCTGCATCACCTTTACAAGCAAAATGTGAGGCTAGTTCTGCTTATCTGTGACTCTGGGAATTCACATTGTAACCACAGCAGTAAACTGGGGGCACCCTACCCTTCTGGTAACCTATTTAATGAGATATTCACACCCGTGAGAGCTGGGTTAATTGCCCTTTAGGCACTTGACATACTGTTATCCTTCCATTTCTAACCAGATATGATTATGCAAAACGTCAAAGTAAGAGAAAAAGAAGATCAGTAGTAAGTTAACAGTGTATGCAAGTTCTCGATTTCTCCAAAGAAATGCTATTGTTTAAACATACTGCAATTTTCTTTTTCATTTTAAAATTGATGGGTTCACTTTAGTAAAACCAAAGAATTTTGGATGAGGGATGATAACCTGATTCTATACTTTGTTTTCTATGAATAGACTCCTGCCATAGTTGGAATTGGGATCATCTACTTTGGTAGCATAAGGAGCATTCACTGATCCGAGAGAAATGTTAGGGTCTTGAATGCAGCTTCTGAGATGTAGCGATGAGGACTGAGTCATGACAGGGGAAAATGCCATGCCTTGGGGGTAGTCAGTTGGTAGCTGGCAGAGCTGAACCTAGAGTCTCTGCCTCCTGATGACAAGCCTAGGACACTTCCTGTTATATCATTTTCCTATAGCACATGCTTTGAAGACCCTCTAAAGCACACATTTTGAGGTTAGCATTTGTGGTCTATCACAGGGGGTTGCTGAGATCTGAGAGAGTACTGAGCCCACAAGCCTCAGCCAGAGAGGGCACCAAAGCTGGTGGTCTGACCTTAGAGACTCTACCCATGGACTGCCTGATTATGTCTTATCAGCTGTCATTCTTATTTGTCCTCCTCTTAAAGGTTCTAGAAGGTATTTCATGCTTCTGTTGAGATAGGTAGTTTGATACCTTTGAGAAAACATGAGTTGGGACAGGGCATCTTCATAGATTATTGAGTGGTGGAGCTGAAAGTACCTGGGTCCAGGTGAGAAGCTCGCCCAGTTGTGTGGGGGTTACGTGACTTGCCCAAGTTTGTATCACCTGTAGGTGGCAGAGGGGGAACGAGGTTGTGTATCTTCTGACTCCCAGTGCTGTGGTATTAGCCCTTTAAATGAGGAACGTGTCAACCCTCATGAATCTAATTAGAATGTGGTGGGAGAAAGACTACACGATCTCCTCCCAGCCGCCCCCTCTGCCCCTCTGTCCTGTCCCTCCAGGGGTCTGAGGACAGGTGCTGTCCCAGGCAGTACTGTGTGATGGAAAAACATACACTTTAGCGTCAGACTTGTGTCTTCATAATGCTGAGGCTTGGACTGATGAATGACCTACCCTGCTGAAGATGTTTTTCTCATCTGCAGCATGGGGCTCATATCTGTGCCCTCAAAAAGTTGCAGGAGGGATTACAGATTTCTAGTGTGTAGCAATTGCTCAATAAATAGTAGTTTCTTTCTCTTCTGGGTTCTGTTTACTTAACGGAGAACACCATCTTATGTGGTATGGGGGCGGTGCAGAGGTGGTTGCAAGCAGGGTTATAAGAAGAGCAAGTTGGTGTTGGCACTGTTTCTTTCATTTCTCATCTCCAATACTAGTGTTCTGTTGGAAATGTGTGAGAGGATTTACGTGTAAGTAGAAATATGTCGAACCGTATTTCACTGATTACCATTGCAACGAAAACATTTTTTGTAATTAAAGGTGGCCAGTGACCAACTGACAGCTCCCATTTCACATATAAGAAAATTCAAGAATAAGAATATTTTCTTTTTAAAGATTTTATTTATTTATTTGACAGAGAGAGACACAGCGAGAGAGGGAACACAAGCAGGGGGAGTGGGGGAGGGAGAAGCAGGCT